GAACTCACAGAGATCCGCCTGGCTCTGCCTCCCAAGTGTTGGGATTAAAGGCATGCGCCGCCACTACCCAGCCAGGTGGAATTCTCTTATTTGTCCCAATGTCTCTTTCACACTGTGTGTCTGTGTCCCAAGTCCCATCGGCTCTGTCCTTAAGTCCTCACACTTCCCCAACCATTTGTGCCCAGGTCTGTCTGTCTTTCTGTCCCTGCCTACATCTTTCCAGCCCGTTACTGAGGCGTAATCCCAGACTTGACTCCTGGTTCCCTCCCCAGCCTCGCCATCAGGTCCTCGTCACAGCAGCTGTGCCTGCTGGAGCTCAAATGAATTATCACTTCTCTTTCACAGCCCCTGTGGCTGTGGGTGATCGCCAAGACCTATGCAGTGGTTCCCTAGTCCCTGGATACATTGTTCCCCCGACCACCGCCACCACCTTGTTATTGCTTAAACTGGCCCCTCCAGTGTCTATTTCAGGCTGGTGCGTTTGCTCCCTCCGTCTAGAATGTTCTTCAGAGATCTATGTAGGTTGCCTTCTCATCTGCTCATAGGCCACCTTGTCAGTGGCTGCCCTATCCCTCCTTTGTATGTGTGTTCATGTGTTCAGATGAACAGCATGTGTCAGGCTCTCAGCCATTGCTTTCCGGGTTATAGAGGGACCTGCAGGGTGGAGACATCTACCCACCTTTCCACAAGGAGACTGAGAGTACCACAAGGCACCGAGAGCCCCAAAGCCTGTGCAGGCCCCTTGCTGGAGCAGGGGAAGCCGCTTCCTCACAGTGCAGTCCCTAAGGGTGCACAGGTCTGGGCCACAGGGAGCCAGGCCCAGATGTCCTCTGAACCAGGTGGACCAGGGCCAAGCCATGCTGCCCGCTGTGTCAGGAATGTGATGGTGAGTGGGAGGGGCTGGAACAGAGGTCAGACAGACTGGAGGTGGTGTTAGAGAGGGAGCCGAACATGACTTTGGAAATCTGATCGGGAATGTGCTGAGGACTCTGGGTGGAGGGGAGGAGCTTATAAAGGGGCCCCTGGTGATGATGGCTCCTGAGCATGGGGAGTTGTGGCAGTGTGGTGTCCACCATCTCCTAGTACCCCGTCCTAGATGCCCCTTCTGAGTGACCCGAGGTTGGGCTTGTGCATTTAGGGCTCATGAGTACCGGAAAACCTGCTGCAGCAGAGGTAGAGAGAAGTGCCGTGGAGCTTGTCTTCACAGAGGGTGCCCACCTCCTGGTGGGACCCAGCTGTCCTGCTGGGGAAACTCCGGGGGCACAGTGGGCACCAGGCAGACAGCCTCACTGACTGCTGGTGGCTGAGACTCTTAGGGTAGTGAGCCCACAGCCATGGGAAGATTCCAGATAGCCTGGCGGTGGAGGTAGCCAGAGAATCGCAGGAGGATGAGGGGATTTTAGCTCGCACTTTCAGAGGATTTTGTCCATGGTCTGTTTGTTGATTCTGACCCTGTGGTGGGGTGGAGACATGCTGCTGCAGGAGCAGATTACCTCATGGAGATCCGGAAGCCAAGAGGGGTCAGAGGTTGGGGATTCCTCTCAAAGGTCGGCCCCCTGGCGACTACTTCCCCCAGCTAGGCCAGGCCTCCAAAGGTTTCTTTTGCTTTCTAAAACAGTTTTACCAGCTTGGGACTAAGCTCCAGCACCTGGGCCTGTGGGGCATCTTTTAATCAAACACATGGCTATTGTCTGCTTTTTAAAAGTCATTTTTATTGTTTATTATGGATATGTGCTTACTGGCTGAGCATCTCTCCAGCCCCTGCTCCTACCTTTTAGATTCCATCAGCATCACCCTGAGGACAAAGCTTGTAACCGGAGTTCCCTGAGGGGATACTGTAGCATGAATCTTAAAAGTTCTTATTAATAAAATCAAACCCGGAGCCAGGTATTGGGGTGAACTGGAAGCTCAGAGAGACAGAACAAGCCACAGCTAACCTCACCTGGTTAACTTCTCAGCTGATCTTGTTTCCTCAGACTGGAAGCCTCTGTGTCCTCATATCCGAATGGTTCTCAGCTGAACTGTGCTGCTCAAACCCTAAAAGCTTAACCAGCCAAATGTTTAACCAGGTCAAATGCTTCTAGTTTCTGGTCCTCACGCCTTATAAACCTTTCTGCTTTCTACCACCACTCCCTGGGATTAAAGGCTCACTTTCTGGGATTAAAGGCATGAGTCACAATGCCTGGCTGTTTCCAATGTGGCCTTGAACTCACAGAGACCCAGAGGGATTTCTGTCTCTGGAATGCTAGGATTAAAGGTGTGAGTGCCACCATTTTCTAGCCTTTGTATCTAGTGGCTGTTCTGTCTCTGACCCCAGATAAGTTTATTAGGGTGCACAATATTTTGGGGAACACAATACCACCACAGGATACCCTCAACCATACCCAGCCACTGAAGTCAGTTGCTTTAGTGTCTAATCTAATTGATGAGACATTGTTGATTTTTCCAGAAACCTCACCTGTAGTTAGGGATGTCTTTGATGGGGATTAGGGACCTGAAATTACTTTTGTTTGTTTGTTTGTTGTTAGTTTTTGAGACAAGGTTTCTCTGTGTAGCCCTGGCTGTCCTGGATCTTGCTCTGTAGACCAGACTGACCTCGAACTCAGAGATCCACCTGCCTCTGCCTCCCAAGTGCTGGGATTAAAGGTGAGCACTATCACCACCCAGTTTTCATTTAAAATTTTTATTTTATGCGTATGGATGTTTTGACTGCATCTATGTCTGTGTCCCATGAGCATGCAGTACCCACAGGCACCAAAAGAGTGTATCAGATTCCCTGGGACTGGAGTTAGGCAGTTGTAAGCCATCATGTGGGTGCTGGGAATTGAACCTGGGTCCTCTGGAAGAGCCCCAAGCTCTTTTAACTACTGAACTTACTGTAGGAAACTAGCTATGAGTGAGGATCTGCATTTCCAGATTGTGGACTAGGCAGACACTCTCTTGTCTTGGTGTTAGAGGCAGAGCTGGGTGTTCTCCATGGCCCCACTTTCCGTGTGTGTGTGTGTGTGTGTGTGTGTGTGTGTGTGTGTGTGTGTGTGTGTACACTTGTGAGGATGTGTTTTATGTGTGTGAGTGGAGGTATGTGCATTGCACTGTGAATTTGGCGGATAGATGACAACCTTGGGTTCTTGCTGCTTTCCACCTTTTGCTTGAGACAGGGTTTCTTGTTCTCTGTGGCTCATGCCAGTCTGGCTTGCCCATGAGCTTGCAGGGATTCTCCTGCCTGGGGTGCCCATCTCTGTGTAGGAGCACTGGCATTGCAGGCGCGTGCTATTCCTGCATCCAGCTTTAATCAGATCTGGGCTCTGACCTCAGGTCCTTACACTTGTACAGCGAATGCTTTCCTCTCTGGGCTACCTCTCCCTTACAGCTTCAGCTGCCTCACTGCTGCCAGTCCTGTCTTGTGGCTTGTGCCCAGGTGCCCCAAGTAAGACCCCCCACTCTTCCTCCTCACAGTCACCCTGAGGGGTAATCTCTCACTAATGAGGGTCCCGGTAATGACAGATGACTGGCCAGCACTCTAGTTTCTGGTTATGGGTGGAAAGTGCAGCTCAGATGAGTGAGGTGTGCAGTTAAGTTGGGCCTGGTAACCATCCAACAGTCTCCTTTCACATGTGGCCAGACGCAGAAGCCGCCCACCTTCCAAGGAGGGTGCTGTAGGGATGCCGAGCTGCCTGGAGCAAAGCAGTCCTACAGAGCACCTCTGCCATCTATCTTATTTCCTGCAGCCCTTTCCTTGGGTGGTTTCTTCTGAGGGCCAGGTCTACCCATTAAATGCCAGGGCTAGCAGAAGTGGGTTCTTCTTTCCTTTGGCGCTTGCTCGGACGCCTGTTGTTCCCACATCCCACTGTGCTAGTCCTGTGCACGGGACCTTGGGGTTCTGGTTCCTTGAGAGACGAAGAAGACAGGGGTGGGAACGCCAGGATCAAGGCTGCGAGGTGGGTGGGTGCTGCAGGAATCCACGGAGGCGCGGACACATCCACCCCAGCCTGTTAAACACATTAGCTAAGCAGTGTGTGCCACAGCCTTGCACAGCTTTAGGGATCGACCTAACGGGGGTGATGGGAAATGGAGAAATGACAGACACACATACAGAAAATCTGGGCTTGGGTGGGACATGCACTCCGACGGTGATGCGCTAGCAGCAGCTGGGGAACTCATTGGGTTTATTGCTGAACAAGGAATCAGGTTTAGCTCATCTTGGTAGGGGGGGCTCTGTAGGGATGCCGTCTCAGGACGTAAACATCGAGGAGGAAGGAAGTGGGGAGGAAGATGTACATATGTCAGCATCCACATACGGGCCAGGGGAAGGCTTTGCTGTTCCCATGGGTCTGAGGCATTGGGGTCCTTGACGTGTCTGTGCTCATGTTAACAATCAGAACTTCTTCCCATACCAGTGTCTAACTGGGACCTCCTGAGGCTTTCAGGTGCTAATTTCCTTCTGGAGAGGAAACAGCCTCCAGCATTTTCCTGATGCTTGGCCAAGGCAGTTGCCAGCAGGCTTTCAGGGATTTGGGAGTGATGGTCGAGGGGATCGCACTGGGAACAGGAGGCGCCTCAGCGTTTCTTAGGGAGCATGGCGGCTGTAGGGAACGGTGGTGTGCCTGCTCCAGCTGCATTCGGCCTTCTGTTGTTGGCATTGTGGGGCCTGTACATGGCCCTTTGTCCAGTCAGAAATGTAATAGGACTTACTTTCCCCGGTCCACCTTCCCGTAGATGAGGTGGGTAGGGCACAGGCCACCGGGGGCACTCGTGGGTGCAGAGGACTCCAGAAGCGAGGTGGCAGCTAAATCTTGCCAGTGATGGGTATTCTTTGCTGTTGGTCAATGAGCCACCGCTCTGACATCCTTTGATTTGTATCCCCACACCTCCCTCCTCTTCCCAGAGCCATGGGTTCAAATCCAAGACTTGCAGGTTTTGAGATGCCGAGTACCCCTGTCAGCATCACCTCCTGGCTGATCGCCCGGACTGGTCGTCTTGCGTGCTGAGGAAGGAAGCCATGAGTGCAGTTTCCAGCTCAACCCTGTGCCCTGGGTGCTGCCTCTGATGGCCTGCTCCGCTCTCTGCCCTTGTCTTCCAGGACCTGGTGACCATGGTGGAGCAGCTGGCCAGATTCCTGGGTGTGTCCTGTGACAAGGCCCAGCTGGAGTCGTTGATCGAGCATTGCCACCAGCTGGTGGACCAGTGTTGCAACGCGGAGGCCCTGCCTGTGGGCCGGGGTACGTGTCCCCTCCCCCCTCCTCCCCACTCAGGTAGTCCCTGTCCACCTAGGACGCTCCGGACTAATTTCCTGCTGGGCAGCAGCACTTGCTGGCCAGTGCCTGTTGAGGGCACAGTGCTTCAGGAGTAGGGCATGCCCTGTCCGCTTGCCCACATGGTGTTACAGTTCAAGGGGGCAGGCAGCATCTACTGGGGCTGGCTTAGGCTCTGCGCAAGGTGTGCTCGTGCAGCGCACTCTCACTGGCTCAAGTCAGGTGCCCACAGAGCAGACCCAAGGCAGGGTGGTGGTGCCGGGTGTTTCGCAATACAGGGCAGACCACTGATTTAGCAGCCTTCCTTTTGGGTGGCTCTGAGTGGTGAGCTGTGGTGGACAGGAAGATGGCTCCCACGTGAGGAGATGTCCTTTTCCCTCTCCGACCCAGAGGATGCTGGCCAAGGGAGGGGCTTCTGGGTTTCAAGTGGCACAGATAACAAATGAGCCAGCCTGAGGGCAGCCAAGCGTGGGTAGTCAAGAGTCAGGGCACTGTGGAGGCGGCCCAGATGGAGGAGGGACACATAGGTAGCAGGAGGCAGTGGGTGGGCAGGAACACTTTGGGGACAATATTCCAGAGAGGAGTCATCCGAGGGCCACTGAGTCAGCTCCTCAGCTCTTCAGGGCACGTGTGAGCGGCTGCTCGTGGGGCAGCTCAGGTATTGAAGTTGCAGGATGTCTCAGAGCGGTGGCCATGTTCCAGAAATCCCCTCCGGGTAAGTACGGTCTAGGCTTGAGGCCAGCTGCCAGCAGTGTGAACTGGAAACTTTGAGAGGGTGAGGAGCCGGGAGGGAAGATCTTAGAACTTTGGGTGGTGGCCAAGGCGGGGAGAGAATCAGCTGGGCTCTGATTGCAGCCTGGCTGCCTCCAGGAATGTGTCTTCTGTCAGCCGTGGAGCAGCGGTGACTTCTAAGGCTTTGCTCTGCATCCCAGCTGCTAGGGGCCAAAGGCAGCTGCTAAGGGTCAGGTGCACAGGACCTTGCTGGAGAAGGCCTAACCAAAACTCTGCCCCTCCGGAGAGCAGCTCACCCACCGCATCATCCCCTGTCCCGTGTTTCCTGGCTGCATCTTCAGAGGCACTTATTATTTCGAGTTTATTTGCCATTCTTCAGTTTTGCTTTCATCATATTTTGTTAACCCTGTCTGTGACCCGCCTCCTCAGCCCCCCCCCCCATTTGGTTTGCATGTGGTTGGTGTATGTGTGGTCTGCGCAGAGGGCGCCGGGTCACGTGCCCTCCGCCGCCGCCGGCGCCGAGCGCCCACACACTCCTTCAGAGGCGTTTGCGCTGTCACTGTTGGCCTTGGTTTTGCTTTATTTCAGTTCTGTGGTTTTGTTTTCTTTTAGCACATTGCCTCTTTACTCAGAAGATCGCCTTGAGGTGGCGAGGATGCAGGGGCTCGGGGAGCCGACTGCATTGCATAAATTTGGTTCATGTCACAGCATAAATTGTCTTGATTCCAAATCCTAAACCAGGTGGGTGACTCCTCTCTGACAAGCTCTCAGCTGGGGAAAAAAAAAAAAAGATTGTGAAAAACTATATTTATAGTGTGGTTGGTCTAGAAGCTTCTAATTTGGTCCCTTTGGTATCATTAGAGGGTGGTAAGAACGATTTTTATTTTACTTTTCCAACACAGACAGATGATGCCTCATTACCAAAGAGAAAGTCCTGATGTGTCAGGAGTTTTAGCCCAGCTGTGGCTGCAGATCTGAAGTCCTGCTGGGACAGATGCTGAGGTTAAGACCCGAGCAAGGCTATTGCTGGAGATGACCAGCGTTCTGACTTCAGAACTGCGCCGCCCCCCCCCCCCCCCCAGCAATTCCCACTTGTTTAAAAGCACAAAGTCAACACACAGACCTCACTGCTCCTGTAGATGGGAGGTTTGGAATACAAACTCCTAATCCCACCCTCCCCACCCCCACCCCCAGACAGGGACAGCAGCTGGGGTTGTGGGGAGACGCACATGGACTTGAGGTATGGAATTCTTGTGTGTGTCACGGGCTCTGTATCCAGCCTGGAAAGCGAGCTTATGCCATGGATGTTTCATTCATTTTTAAGCCTTCCCCAACTCTTTTTGAGCTTAGGCTTCTAGAAAATTCCGCCCTTGATGGCTTCAGGAGAGCTTCCTACTGGCACTTGGGATGATTTTGTTTGTTTGTTTTGTTTTGTTTTTTTTTTACTTTTTCAAATTTTCCAGAGGCAACCATTGTGCCAACAGCAGTTGGTGCTGTGGAGCTGTGAGTTAAGGACTCCTTAGAGCACTGTCCTCAGCCCACAGTGCCTCCTCTCTGGAAGGTTTATGGCGGGAGCATCTGTTGTGGTAGGTGCCGGGAGCTAACCTGGAGCAAAGAGGTGGAGTCCCTCTTGGTCACAGGTGTGGGTCTGTGTGATGGCTGGTGCGTAGTTGACAGAAGGTGGCCAGGTAGCCGTAGGAAAGCTTCCCTCCAGACTTAGGGAAATCCCAACACAAACAGGACTCATGCCGTCTAGCTCGGCTGGCCCCTCCCACTCAGCAGGCCAAGTTTAGAGGGGCCTAGGCACAGATCTGGAAATTTCCGGATCCATTCCCAAGGCTTCCTTTTGTCCAGAAACTGGTGGCTACAGCCAGCTCTCTGTGGTCTGTGTTGCAGGAAGAGTCGGGCTATGGAAAGACATCTTCACCGTCTCCATGAATGAGAAGTTTGACCTAGTGTATAAACAGAAGATGGGGAAGTGTGACCTC